TTTGGTCCTGATGAGATGTCACCTCCTTCATCTCTGCACTGTCCCCTTTCCCTCTGCACAGGATGTCACTGCGGGACTTTAAAGCACACTTCATGCTTCTGGTCATCTGTAAACTGAGCCCAGGCCTACTGAGTCAGGAGGTGGGCCAGAAGTGGTCGTATACCATGCTGGAGGGGAGATGGGAGAAGGGGACCACGGCTGGTGGCCAGATGAAGTTACCCCAAGGTGAGTGTGTGCAGAGGGGCCAGGGGTTCTTGGGCCTAACGTGGCAGTTTTCCAGTCAAGGGTGGGGCTGTGGGCAGAGCCACTGCGGGTGGCTGTGCCGCTGGTGCCCTGCCCAGGGCTCTGCTGGCTAAGCTGTGTCTCTGGCCCTGGGCTGTGTCCCCCTGCAAGATAAGGCACCTTTGTCCTAATTTGCACAAAGGCATAAAACTCCCTTAGGGATGCATCTTTCCAGAGAATTCCCTTTCCTAATCAGCAGCATGAGGCCACAGGCACACATGCATAGTAGAAGGGTGGGTTCCATCTTTCTGTGGCTTGGGGACAAGGCCACTGATATGCTGAAGTGACCACCCCATAACAGGCAGGCTTAAAAGGGCATTTGTATCGTATCAGCCCTCCTTACCTAGAGTTTGGTAGAGAAACAAGATCAAGGAGTCCAAGGTCACCAGGTCACTAGGAGATGACCGTGGACACATTCTCTAGGTGGAGAGTTTCCGGGACCATGTTCCCTTCCCCACAATGGAGGCAGTGAGCCATCTCTGGGAGGAAGGATTTGATAGGTATGATCTCAGCAGGGCCAGGGCAGCCTTAGTTCTGGCTGCCCTTCCCCCAAGCATTGCCCCCTAACGGCTGAAGCTGTCCATAAGCTAAGGCATGGTCCCTGTTAAAGTGCAGCTCCTCTGGGATCCCGGGCATGGTTCCCTTCAGTTAGTCAACACAGTCACTGACTCAGGCAGCCAGTGTTATGGGGCGCGAAGTCTATGCCAGGCCATGCGCTGGGCAGAGGGCCACAGTGGTAAGACTAACTCTTGTTCGTGTGTCCAGAGAAGAACCTGAGGTGGAGGTGGTGGGTGGGAGGGGACAGAGCTGAGGTGGAAGAGACCTTGGCTCTGTCTGGATGGACCTCGGGTGGGAATCCTGGGACAGGTGCCCTGTGTCTGGGCTCCTCTCCTGGTGTGGTGAGCGGGATGCTGGGGGAGCCTGTCTCACCTTGCTGTGTTCCATCCCAGACACATTTTGGAAGAACCCACAGTTCCTGCTGTCCGTCTGGAGGCCCCAGGAGGGCAGGAAGCTCCAGGGGCCCTGCAGCGTGCTGGTGTCTCTGCTCCAGAAGCCCAGGCACCGGCACCGCAACCAGCAGCCGCACCTCGCCATTGGCTTCTACCTCTTCAGGGTAGGTGGGCGTCTGGCGCCCGCAGCTTCACGTGGGGTCCCCAGCCCTTATCCTGCCTTCCTGTTTCTTGTCCACTTCACCATCCATGTCTGCCTACCCACCTCCTTCTCTGTCTACCACGCCTGCAAATCCTAGCTCTGTCCCTTGGGAATATGTGATCTAGAACAAGTCACCACCTTGTATTTGAGCATCAGTTTCTCCATCCATAAAGCGGGGATAAGCGGTGCTTCTTATTGTGCCCAGCACACAGTTGGTACAGTCAATTCTGGTTCCCTCTGCCCCTCTCCAGAAGCCAAGCTTACCTTCCCTCACCCTTTCTAGAATTTCTGATGATGGATTAAAATGTCACCAACCAGAACAGCAAGTTTTGAGGGAGGAGAAGGGGCCTCTGGGTAGAGTCTTCTTAGATATCTGCCTCCATTAGAGTTTGTGCTTGTGAAAGAGCTGGATTCACTGCCTAACGAGGCCTCTCTGTTTTGTTTTTTAGATGAACAAGGTGAGTTCCACCCCTGACCAGCTGGTCCTGGCTGGGAGTGGTGTCCCATGTGGCAGGTTCAGTTTGACTGCAGCAGCCTTATGCAAGGAGCTACGAGGATGTCTGATGATAATGCCAGCTGCCTGTGTGTGTGGAAGAGCATCCACTGGCCTATTTTTATCCAAGGAACCCCCCCACCTTCCGCGAACCCCACCAAAGTCCTTAAGCTTCCCTAGGGAGGTCTGAGCCTGATGCAGAGCCAATAAATTTTAGAATGTATTAAATCCCTACATAAATACCTAGGGCTAATATTGAAAACTGTCACAGCATAGGAGGAACTATAAATCACAATCTTGCCTGAGTCATGAAGCCTGTAATAAAATAGATCTCTAACATATGGGACATCAGGCGACCATGCAGCCCACCTCCTAGGGAACAAGGGACAAAGGCTTGGGAAATGAAACAGAAACATGGGCAGAGGGCAAGAACAGCTCTGTGTTTCAGCTGCTGTGGTGGCCTCGAGGGGTCAGTTAAGAAGACCTGAGATATCCCAGCCTCTGAAGGATGGCAGCTACTATTTTGTTGCCCAAAGAAAACAGGAGTGAAAAACAACTGTCTTAGATTGGACTGAATTGAGTAAGAGCATTTTTATAAAGAAACCATTTGCACTGGGTGTCTTGGGTCGACATTTTTTCCCCTCCTGAGGGAACACTGAGTGCTCCCAAAGTTTATTAATTGCCTATTAATAAATTTTAAAAGAAAAAGTTATTTATATCACACCTCTCCTAAATAGAATTTGGGTCAACTGACAATAAAAAGTATAAACAGAGCAAAACTATGAACCAGTTACAAAATTCAAAAGGCAGGAAAAAAAGTTATAAGTTGATGAGGGGTAGGAGAGCCATTAATTCTGCCAGGAACACTAAGTCAAGAACAGCTACTATAGCTGATTATAAAATTAAGTTCTGAGATTCCTGGCAGCCAGGGCAAAGATGGCAATGAGATGACTCTCTAGTTCTCCTAGTCTGATAAAAGAAAGCGTTTATCATCAGGAGATACATTTTGTTTCCCCAGCCCTGAGCAGAATCTGCAAAACGTCTTTATGTGGTGGGTAATGTCTTTATCAGCAGCTGTCTGCATCTCCCACATGGAACTCCTCTACCTCTTCAGCCCTCATGAGAATAAAGGGGAGAGGAAGCCAGAGAGAAAGGGCAAGAAGGGGAAATACAGGAATGAAGGAGAGAGGAAGAGAGAGAAAGAGAGAGTAAAAATATGAGAGAAAACAAAATGCACGCATGGGCAGTATCCTAACCAGAGCCCTGATTTGTGTCTTCTGAGCTCTGAGCCAGTCCCCTCTCCCCTTCACAAGGCTGTTTTCACTGAGATGAGGTGGAACATCCAGTTGATCTGTATGGAGCTATCGCAAGGTGGGTAGGAGATGGCTAGTGGTCCGTCTGTATCTGTGACCATGATCATGTCATAATCAGCCTTGAAATTGTATCGCAGACATGGAGGCAGCATCAGGAAGTGAAAAGGACTTGGCCATGGGAGCTCAGCTGCCCTGAATTCCAGTCCTGGCTGATACCCTTACCTGCTGGGTGACTTTGTGCAGATGACCTAACTTTTCTGAGCCTCAGACCCTCAGCTGTAAATTGGAAAGTGCAGACACAGTGACATTCCTCACCTCATGTTATATATGATGTTGTTTTTAATGGATGATCAAATCAATTGCTGTCTGTATATTCAGCCCCACGTAGGGTTCCAGCAAAGGTGCCCACTCCAGACATGTTGTGGTGTTTTCTCTCCACCCCTGACTCCTTTATCACCTCCTCCACTGGGGCTGGTTGGATTTGGCAGATCTGAGGCTATCTTAGTTCTGGCACCTGGCCAAGGGGCCCAGGCCCGGCCACAAGTCCTGGGTGATCACCTCGACTGCCCCTCTCTCCTCCCCCTGCAGAGTTATGATGACCAGAGGAGACTGCCCCCCGAGTTCTTCTGGAAAAATGCTCCCCTGAGCTGGCCTGCGGCATTTCTCAGGGAGAAAGAAGTGAGCCGGGAGCTGTGGCTGGAGCCGGGGAGGTACCTCATCGTGCCCTGTACGTCTGAGGCCCGCCAGGAGTCTGCCTTCGTCCTCAGAGTCTTCTCCAGGAAGCACGTCTTTTAGTAAGGGCCTAGGCTGGAGGTTGGGGTCCACTGGCGCTCGGCGAGGTGAAGTGGGGGAGGTGGAAATGGTGGAGGATGGGGGTGTCCGTGGCCAACACAGAAGAGAGGTAGGGTGAGCCAGAGAGCAGGGCAGCTCTCTACACGGAGAGCATCCTTCACGCCTTCCTCTCCTTTCTCCTTCTAACAAATGAACATTCTGTAGACATAGAGAGAAAAAGCTAGAACAGGCCTGGCCCCTGACCTCCAGGAGCTCAGAATCTGGGCAGGACGTGGATGTATGAACAGCTATTCTGTTACACTGTGTCCAGGGCCAGCATTAATCTGCACAGGGTGTTAGAGGAACATCGGGGAGGAACAGCTGAGCCAACCTTCTATGGTCCTGGGGGAAGCAGGGGAGGCTTCATGGAGGTAGTGACTTCTAAGTGATGCATAGGGGTTGTTCTGATGAGGGAGGCTGTCATCAACCATCAGGCTCATACAAATCAATACACACACATCCCAGCTGAACTTACTACAGGCCTTTGTCAGAGATATCACAGGTTTAGTTCTAGACACTGCAATAAAGCAAATATTGCAGTAAAGAGACTCACAGGAATTTTTTGGTTTTCCAGTGCATATAAAAATTATGTTTACACTGTATTGTAGCCTATGAAGTGTGCAGTAGCATGAGGTCTAAAAAAAATGTGCATACCTTAATTTAAGAAGCCTGATTGCTAAAAAATACCATCATCTGAACCTTTAGCAAGTTAGAATTTTTTTGCAACAGTTAACATCAAAGATCGCAGATCACAAATATAATAATAAATATAATAATCATGAAAAAGTGTGAAATATTGTGAGAATTACCAAAATGTGACAGAAACATGTGCAGGGAGCAAATGCTGTTGGATAAATGGTGCCAATACATTTGCTAGGTGCAGGGTTGCCCAAACCTTTAATTTGGAAAAAACACAGTCAAATGAGGCAGGCCTATATTTGGCCTGTGATTGTTTTGACGTGCCAGCTTTTGAACGCCTAGAACCCAGTTCTTCCTACATGTTCTGGGCATAGGTTGTTTGGCTTGATCTCAGGCCTCACCTCTTTGTCAGGCTGCTGAATTTTAACATAGTCTAACCAAACTAGGGTCGTTAGGTGAGGGTTGAGGGAGGAAAGGGCACACCGGGCAGAGGGCTTGGCATGAGCAAAGGCCCAGAGGTGAGAAGGGGCACGGGGTGTGTGGGAGCTACAAGCTGTGAGCTGGACCGGGAGCCAGACTGCACGCTGCATGGGGAGGGGGGCGTGGAGTGAGAGCTGGGCAAGGCCCACGTAGCACATCAGCTAAGGAGCTTGGAAGATGAGTTCCCAGGCGAGGGAGAATGTTGGTCCAAAGCTTCCCAAGATGATCCCCAAGAAGTAATTCTGTCTTTCTTTTTCTCCAGTGAAATTGGCAGCCGTTCAAATGTCATCTTCTCTAAGGTGAGTTGTAGGTGGAATGCCACATGACGGAGGCTGTTTATAAACCCAGGGTGGTGGATTTCTCGCTCACATCCAGATCCCACAGACCCTGCTCTGTGGTACCCACATTCTGGTATCTATGGTCCACTAAGGGGGCCCAGGTTCTGCTGTTTTTGCCCCAGGAGAACTGCCCTTCCATCAGGTCCTTGGCACTGAAGGCCCAGAGCCCCAGGTGCATGGGTCACTCCTCCACGTTCTTCTGTTTCTCTCCACCTGCTGTTTCTTCTGCCCCTTCCAGTTTGCTCTGTCCCCAAAGTCAGCAAGAACTGGAGAAACAAGGAATGTGTGTGAATGCTATGGTAGGAAATATCAGATAGTGCTCAAGGTCAGACCTACAGATTCCAGGGACCCGTGAGCCATTAGTGCGTGCACATGGGTCCATTCATCCAGAGAATGACCAAGTCTTCCTGTGTGTCTGCTCCTCTAGGAAATTGTGGACCAAAATGAAGGGCAGGATGAGTTCTTCGCCAAACTTTTTGAAAAGGTCAGTTGGGGTGGTAAGCGAGGGGCAGGGGACACTGTGGAGCCTACAGTTCCCTGGAGGATGGGTTCACATCTGCCAAACCCTGTGTAAAAATTTTGATTTAAGGCTTCCCAGTCCCCAGACTGCCACTTTCTGTTAAAGCCCTTAAGTTTTTGGACAAATGAGTAAAGCCACTGAGTCCAGAAGGTTCCTGTAACATGCATGACTATCCTTGGAAGCTCCATTGATTAAATTTTAATCCCTGAGAAAATGGAATATGGCAGAGGTGAGAGTCAGGGTTGGGAGCAGGGGGTGGAGCCTGGCCATGACATGCCCTCGGAGTCCGGGGGAGGGAAGCCCAGGGAGAAAGACCCATGGGTGGTCACCGGAGGGAGCTGGGGGGGAGGGAGGCTACACACTTGATCCCTTTGAGTTCTTTCCTTGGGCTGACCCAGATTTGGCCACCAGCAGGAGGCCAGCGATGTGAGTGCAGGGCTTGGGGGCGACCCTGTCCCTAAGCTGCCAGACACTGAATCTGTTTAAGAATAGGGCAGGACATCTGGGTGTGACATCTGAGTGATGTCATTAAAACTGGAGGAACATGAGCTCCCAGTGTTGGTAACACTCTTGACTGAATTCACCAGTTGTCCACCCTTCTGTCTTCTCTCATTCTCACCACTGGTGTTTTGCTTAATGTTGTCAGAGAGGATACATCAGAATCTTACATGCGTTGTTTACAGAAGTTTTCCTCCAGATCAAGGGTTTCCAGATGTTTTCTGCTATAGTCCTTTTATCAAATGCAGTCTCATAGAGTATCTTAATGTATACAAAACAGATAAAAACTGCATGTTATGAATATATATCCATTTTCTAAGTCCAAATGTATGGTACTTATGTTTCATTAATATGTGTGAAAGTTAAATGTTTGTGTGAAGAGTTGCTTCCTATGGACTCTAAAACTGAAATCTGGACTTTTGGCAGAGGACATTTTATCAAGAATAAAATTAAAACCCAGTTGCTGAACTTCTGAAGCATCTCTGTAGAACCCAGTTTGAGAATCACTGCTCTCTGTTAGGCTACCTCTTAAGAGTCCTGCCCTGCTGGGGTGCTCTGGACTTGACACCCAGTTCAAAACTGTTGTGGAAGTGCTTATGAAATCCCAGATTTAATTATGTGTCTAGTCCCGTGCCATACATGCGAGATCGCCATGTCGCTAATTCTGTCCAGAAATGGCGTATTTGCTG